TTACAACCATCAAATGCTATTTCTAACAAAACCCATCAACAAAATGCATCAAATAAACAAACCCATTATCAATTTTAATAAAATAAAATAAAATCAACAATATTCAGTGATTATTTGTTGAGAGCAAGTCATACCCCTTTTCTGCTCGATGGGCGAGGAGCCAGTTCCCTTTTGGTGACGATGTGCCCTTTGTATAGACCCACAAAGAGACCACCGTCCGCTTGAGGCGGCGCCGTTGAAATCTTTATACTCCTTCAATTTATAAAAAATAAAAATAGAAATTAATCTCAATAGAGGCTTTATGAAGCAATAGGTATAAATAATTCATGTTCAAATTATTGAAAAGAAAAGAAAGAAAAATTCACCTCAAATAGAAACCCTAGCGGCTATAAAAAGGTAAAGGAAAAATTTGAAAACCTAACAAATCTACTCCTCCATACTTCAAAGAAAAATCTAAAAAATTAATGTTTATACTACAGAAGTTCTCCGGTGAAATTGTAGAACCAAATCTAATCCTCTATACTTAGAAGTTACTTTTTATGCTACAATAATTTATAAACAATTGGGTGAGCATCTTAGGCACTGTTTGTTTGCTAAGGAGCTGTTTGTTTCGAAAAAAAAAAAAGGAAATCAAAGAATAGGATTTCTTGTATTATGATTGTTTGGTTGGTTAAAAAATGAAGGAAATCAAAGAATAAGAGATGAGATAAGATGAGTTGACATCATATTATTGGATGATGTGGGTGATTTTTTAAGAAAACTTGTTTTGAGGTTGTTTGGTTGGTTAAAAAAATAAGAAAATGTATTATAAGAAACCTATTTCCTATAATAATTTCTTTCTTGTGTTTGGTTCATTCTTAAAAATAAGAAAATAGATGAGATGAGATGAGTTGTTTGTATATTATTGGATGATGTGACCCACACTTAAGAAAATTGAAAATCAATTTTCTTTTCTTTTTTTGAGGAAATGGGTGGAAATGAAATGTTAATGAGATGAGATGAGTTGTCACCATATTATTGGATGATGTGAGTGATTTTTAAATATGAGAGGAGATGAGTTGGATGATGTGACTCATTTCTTGTTGTTTGCGGATTACAACAAATTCAAAAGAGATAGTCTTTTTATAAGACTTCTTTTACACAACAAAAGGAAAATTACAACTTTTTAGAAACAAACGCAGGATCGTTGTTTGGATCGCTGCTTGCGTGGGATCTTTGCCTGTGCCGGGAGCGCTTTGACTCGTGGACCACCAAATCACAGATTCTGATTGAACCGTGAGGGGTTTAATGATTCTTCCTTCGTTTATCGAAGTAAGAATTTGAAGCGAATATCTTATCGATGTAAGATGTTCACTCTTCCAAAGATCAAGTCTGAGCTTAGATCTCTAGGACTCGCTAGAAGCTTCTTGAGGATGTTTGTGAAGAAGGAAGACTCTCTCTCTTGCTCTAATTCACCAAAACTCAAGGCTCTCTGCTCTAATCTCTCTGGAAAATGCTCAGCCCCTGTCAATGATGGCCATAGGGGGGTATTTATAGCCTCCTTAGACGATAACTGAAGAAATAGCCGGTCAATAACTGTCTCTTTAGGCGTGGCAGCTGATGCTGTCGCGGCTAAAGGGCGCGACAGTCGACACTGTCGCGGCCAAAGAGCGCGACAGTCGACACTGCCGCGGCTAAAGGGGCAGTTACACCCACGTTCATACGTGTTTGAAACAGTTCTCCCACGACCTTTAACCACCTTTTTCGTGGTTTAACTGCTTGTACACGTCAGCACACGTTCTATTTCTGATACGCCGCCACGTGGACTTTAAATAATCATCAGATAACTGTATTATAACTGCTGTAGCATCCTGCTTTAACTGCCGCGGCACCATAGGTTGCAGCGGTTAAGCCGCGACACCATAGGCTGCCGCGCCTTAGCCGCGGCACCTTGGTCTGCCGCGCCTTAGCCGCGGCACGCATGTCTGCCGGCGCCGCCGTAATGTTGCTTGAGACGTGTATATTGTTCTTTATATCGTCTTGACAGTGGGTTGATTTTGTAAGCATTTTTGATGTCTACAGATAACCCGCCTCCAAAGTATCTCAGACTCATTCATTTTTTTAGAGAGGGTCTGGGGACAAACCCTTTGGAATGATAAGGGCTTCCTGCAATTCTCCCATGCTTTGTTTGAGGAAATTGCCGTAGAATGTTGTGATATGCTTCAATCCTTGACTTCTTCATCTTTTAGCCTATCAGTGCTTTGTAGAATAGCTAAAATTCCCCGGTACTTGTGGCGCTTTATCGCGTGGCGTTGTCGAAGTCTCTCAAATTAAAACTCTGATCGGAAGAATTGAAAAATAGTTATACTACATATACTATATTGCTGAGTGTTCGGGAAATAGTTTAACACTCAATACCCGTCTGGAAGGTAACCAGTTATTCTTAAAATATTTTGAAGTAATATTCTCCAGAAACTCCTTGTTGAGAATTAGGGAAATAGTTTAGACTCGTATACTTATTGAGTATATCTGGTCTCTTGTTTGTTGGTAGAGATGAATCCGATAATGGAGAGGAAAGAATTTATATTCTGTCTCCTAGTCTCGTTTGCTTGTAAGAGATGAACCGATTGATGAAGAGAAGAATTTCTATATTCTATCTCCTGTCTCTTTTGTTGGTAGAAGATCAGCCCGATGAATGGAGAGGAAGAATTTATATTCATATCTCCTGGTCTACTTGATTGTTGGGTAGAGATGAAACCGAGATGAGGAGAGGAAGAATTTTATATCTATCTCCATTGGAGTAAAGAAACTCAAAAGTGGGGATCTCCAGACATAGAGAATCTCTGAGGGGGGAATTGTGTTTGAAATAATCCTAACTGTCATAAGGTTATGATTACTCAATTCAAAAGTGGACCCTTCGTTCGCAAAAAACGAATCGAAAGGAGATTTTGGTCTGTGGTCCTAACTGCGTAGTAAGTTTTGACCAAGTGGGAGTTTGAGACGATCCTAACTGTTTAAAGTTTGATCGTTCAAGTTTGTGGACCTCATCGTTCATAACGAATCGAGAGGGATTTGTCTTTGATCCTAACTGTATTAAAGTTTTGACGAGGAGATGGGAATTGAGACGATCCTAACTGTTTAAAGGTTTGATAAGCTCAATTGTGACCTCCTCTTTTCATGGAAGCATTCGAGAGGGGATTTTGCCTTTGGTCGCTAACTGTTTAAAGGTTTTGACCAAGATGGAATTTGAGACGATTCCTAACTGTTTAAAGTTGATCGTTCATGTGGACCTCTCGTTCATGGAACAATCAAGAGGACGATTTGGGTTGGTCCTAACTGTTAAGATTGACCAAGATGGGAATTTGATAGCGATCCTAACTGTTTAAAAGGTTTGATCGTTCAATTGAGGACTCTCAGTTCATGCGAACGAATCGAGAGGGGATTTTAGTTTTGGTCCTAACTGTTTAAAATGGTTTGACGCAAATCGGGATATTGAGACGATCCTAACTGTTTAAAGGTTTGATCGTTCAATTTGTCGAAGCGCTTTCTTATGTTCATGGAACGGAATCGAGAGGATTTTGGCTTTGCGTCCTAACTGTTTTATAAGGTTTGACCAAGATGCGAAATTTGAGACAGCTCTAACTGCTTTAAAGCTTGTTCGTTCAATGTGTTTGAAGACGATCCTAACTGTTTAAAGCGTGTTGATCGTCAATCTTTGTACGGCTCTCGTTCATCGGAAGGCAATCGAGAGAGATTTTGGTTTGTACTAACTGTTTAAAGCCGTTTGAACCAAGATGGAATTGAGACAATCCGTAACGTTATCAAGGTTTGATCGTGCCAATTTCGTGGACTCTATCGTTCATGCGAAGAAATCGAGAAGATTTTGGCCGTTTGGTCCCTAACTGCTTTAAAGCGTTGGACCAAATAGGGTTTTGGAGGAACGATTGATCTAAAGAAAGTGATCGAATCTCATCTCAGCAAAGGTATTCAGAATATCACCGTGGGGATGTAGTGTGTTATCACGCTTGTTGTAGAGTGATCGGGTTATCGCGCTAAAAAAGTTACAATATACATTCTATTCTGAGAACTTCGCCTTTACATGAACCATGCCACACCCGCGGCTCCCTTTGCTAAACTGGGTCTACATATATTCAGGCTGCATGATGCAGGTTATCCCTTACAGAGCTACAACATTGGTGCTCTCCAGGAATTTCCCGTTGAAAGATAAGGAAATAGTTATAGACCATATACCTAGTTGGAGTAGTCGAGGCGAGCCCAGTTTAACTCGTATACTCTCCGATGAGATGGAGAAGCAGGTTTATACTCTATACTATCGACAGAAGTCAGGGAAACAAGTTATACTCGTTCGTACCCAATGGAGTAGGGGAACAGTTTATACTATTAGTATCCGATGGAGTATGGAAAACGCAGGTTATACTCATGTATCGATGAGAGTAAGCTCATCGTTAATCGCTTGTTTCGCGCATTATGACGCCGAGTCAATTATATGCCTTGGATTTATTTTTGAGTCACGAAGCAAATCTCAGTGGGATGAAGAACCCCTTCTTGGTAACGAACAGATAGTTTGGATCGGTAAATCCTGCTTACGCTCCATCCTGATTGTTAACTAGCGTGGTAGCTCGATTTTGTCATTGAGGAGGAGTATTTCAAAGATGCTGAAGGCTCATCATTCTTCGAAAGAATAACCCTTTTGAGAAACGGTCAGATCGAGAGTCGCATTCTCAACGATTTAGATGTCATTGGTTGGCCTCTCTCAGCTTTCTTTCTTTAAGAAAGCTCAGCTTGTTCACCCCGAATTTTAACATCCTTCCAAGTTGTGGAGGCAACGACGCCCCAGAGCTTCCAGGACATCGATGGAGAGGTTATTGTGGAATAGTTGCATGGATAAACTCCTCTTAAAGATCTCTGCAATTCATGTGCTTTTGGGCCACCGAAAACGCTTTGACAAAATCGTCAGACGTGAACTCTTCGTCTTTTGCTCTCATCAAAAGGGTTGAAGCATGGACACTCGGTGTCATCATCAGAAGAAAATTGCTGAGGAACAACTTTTCCATGTCATCCCCACAATTGGATGCGTTCCTGGCATTGAGCCGATCGGTACAAAGATCGAAGCGGGCCCACGAAGGGTGGGCCAACGAATGACCGGACATTAAGGCCTCGTTTCCAGAAGATATGCCCAAAATGAGAGCTTGAAATAACATTATCAAGTGTTGAATTCGGCGGAACGTCTTCCCTTTCAACGGTGTGAAGTTAATCAATTGAATTTGTCGGGTATGGTATTGAATACCCATTCGCCTCGGATAAGGAACATGGAATACCCGTCTCTCTTAACAAAAACTTCTTGAGCCGTCATCAAGCAATGATTTTGTCTTCAAGTTTTTTGCATTTCCCAGTCATGCGTCTCCATTTATTTCTGAATGATGTCAGTAAAGATAATTGACCACCCCAGTGAGAGGTGCTATTGAACTCACCGCCCAATATCAGTTATTGGGAGGATGCCGTTAAACCACCCGCCAGCGTTATTGTCATTGGAAGGTGTAATCAGCCATAATGACTTCATCACCTCATGGATCACTGCCTCCTAACAACATTCCGAGTGTGTGGCTGGAATTCAAGTCGGCTGATTGGATAGGAGGTTGAGGCTGTTGAGGTTAATCAGTTCTCTCATTTGTTGATAGCTCAACTTCATTTCTGTCTTCACTTCAACTCATAATTTCTTCACGTTGTTTGGCTAGAGCTTCCAGGATGGTATTTGAGTGAACTGATGCAGGCAATGTGATTGTGAATACTTGCTCATGATTTGTCCTGTGGCTAGACATTGTATCATCAGAAGCGCATTGCAGAAAAAATAAGTGTCGCCGAGAATTCATCGCTCCGAGAGCATTCCTTCTTGCATTCTCTTGTAGTCTCTGCGTCTGATAGCTCCTAATTGGAGTCGAGACACATCCTTTGAGGCAATTGCTGGATTGACTTTTGCCTTCACGGGGAAAAGGCGGATGATATGAGTCAGCTTGAATGCTGTTTAGAGACTTTCTTCTTAATCAGGCTACGTTGATGGTGACTTCAGGGAAATTCATCAATTTTGCAGCGATTTTCTTTTGCGGAATGTCTCAGCTTAGGCTTGATAATGCAGAGACTAATTTCGTGGATGATTTTCTCGTTTGAAAGCAGTCACGATTCTGATATATGCTGTTTTGACGAGTCGTGCACGAGGTAACATCACATGGGGAAACGAGAGAGAGAGAGAGAGAGAGAGAGAGAGAGAGAGAGAGAGAGAGAGAGAGTCTTTCCACCCACTGGAAAGCATGATCGTGGAATCTGTGTGGCGAAGATCGTCGTAGCTATCCATATAAGAGATTGGTGAAGTTGCAGATCGTCGGGTCAATCGCAGGGTCCATCGTAATTATTTGGTAGAAGATAGGTGCTCTTGCTCCTGTTTCTTGTTTTCCTTATCGTGTTTATCATCCCCAACATTGATTCTACTGTTGATCTATCCCATGTACCATCTTAGATCTGTAGTATGGTTGTTTCTTCAAGCTTATTTCAGTATATTATAGGACCTGCATGTTTTATAGTAGATCTAACAATAAACTAGGGTTTTGATTTATTAGGTTTTTGTAAAGTTTATATCTTTCATGTTGCATGTGATATATCACATCAGATCTGTAGAATCACACCATATTTATTAGAAAATTAAAAACTACAGCAGAAATCGCAACTTTGGCGGAAACAACAATGATGATGATGTGACTAATGACAGAGCACAACTCAGCCCACTATAGTCAGCGGTGACCTCATAGGCTCATACTACTGCAAACCAGGAAACAACCACCGACTAGACCCATAGACAATCGCCAAGCCAGCACTCGGCCATCGATAAAGGGTGTCAAAGGTGAGCAGACTAGGCGTTGACCGCCAGTTGCTACTGCTGATTGCCCCAAACCCAACCCTGACTACCATGTTGCCCCTGTGAGAGCATTTTGATATACTATTCATGTCTATATACATGTTTGATTATTGCATGACAAAATACTCTCACATTTGTAAAGTTAGCCGAGTATACTGTGCTAATAAATTAACCATTTGACATGTTTACCTGACATGAACTACATGCTGGTAATTATGACACCTAGGTAAGTAAACAATGTGACATATTTAGAACTAGATGATAGGGGTACTATTGAAACGTACACAATGACGAACTATATGTAACCGTGTTTGTGCATGTCTTCATGACATGAAGTGGGTATTGAACAAGATAATAATAAATGGCAATTGATGGAATGTCCTGAGTTGAGTTATGTAAATATACCTGGCAGCGTAATGTGAAGCCTGAGGACGACCCCGCGTGCATTGATCATGTACGGTTTGATGTAGAACACAGTGCAGATATATTCATGGAGAAACGGGACCGTCAAAAGCTCATATAGGGGCCCAGTCGAAGAAAATAACTTGCAATAAAGAATGGGTCATATCTCTTAAACCGTACGTCAGAATTGGACGGATTATATATGTAAATAGTATATTTTTTCGAGACGAAGTCAACCAAACCAATTGTTGTTCGGTTTACCACTGTTTGTTTCGTGAAATTCCCTCCGGATTGAGAGATATCAATAGTTTTTATTAGTTTTTTATTATTTTAGGTAATGCTCTAGAAGTTTGTTTTGATTAGGAAGCAAATCCGATTTGATTCCAAATTTGGTCGATTTACTTCCCTAATCATAGTCTTTTAAGAAGAGTTTTGTTATTTCTACTTTTGCCAAAGTTCAAGTCATAGTAGGAGTCTTGTTTATTTTCTACTTAAGCAGAGTATTGTAAGTCCCAGAAGCATAATTTTTTTATCAATAAATTTCATCTTTAATATTTTCTTCATGAACTCGAAGTTCTTCATGGATTTGAATATCGTTCTTTGTGGATTCAGAGAACACCCCCAGATGGATTCCGAGGCTTTTACTTCCGTACTGTGTTAATTGGTATCAGAGCCTTGTTTTTTCGATCCGATGGCAGACAATAAAGCCCCTATTTCTCAAACTGAGTTCGATGAGTTTAAGACTGATGTTAATCAAAATTAAGACTATTGTAGATCAACTTGCATTGGCTATGGAGCGTCTGAACGCGGTAGGAGTTTAAAATCGTGTTGATGGTCGCCAATAACATGATCTGACTCCACAGGATAAATTCAATAGCGACGGCGATAACTATGAAGCCCCACGCTGCGCTGATGATCGCAGAGAACGCCAACAACGAAACAATTATGATACTGGAGGGTTCAAGATGAAGATGGATCTGCCATCTTTTAATGGGCTACTACATATCGAAGAATTTCTTGATTGGGTTGCAGAGGTGAAGAGGTTTTTTGAGTATATGGAGATCCCAGATGAGCGAAAGATTAAGTTGATGGCCTACCGACTTAAGGGTGGAGCGTCTGCTTCGTGAGAATCAGTATGCCTAAATCGATTCCGTCAATGAAAGCCGAAAGTCAATAAGTGGGAGAAGATGAAGAAGTTGCTAAAAGCCCGATTCCTGCCAAGTGACTATGAGCAAGTCTTGTTCAGACAATTCTAGAATTGCAAACAATGTGGAAAAACAATTGATGAGTACATGCAAGAGTTTTATTAGCTATTACCCTGCAACAATTTAAATAAGAACGAAGCCCAACAGATGTCTCGTTACATAAAGGGATTGAGGATGGCGATACAAGATCGTGTCTTTACAACAGACATATACTTTGGCAGACAGCCTATCCGAAAAGACGGAGTGACAACGTAGACAGAATAATTTAGGAACATTGGCAGCTTCTGATGGTTCGCGCAAGAATTTTAATTGTGGCTAGAACAAACAGTCTCAATTTGCATCTGATCAAGATTCTACAGCTAAGAAGGGTACATGACTGACAACAACAACAACAAAGAAGGTTACACCATCAAACCTATATGCTAAACCCGATCCAATCAAGTGCTACAGATGTAGTCAACCTGGTCATCGATCCAATCAGTGCCCTAAAAGAAGTGTTGTGAATATAGTATATCGTAGTGAAGAGGATATAGACCAAAATGATGCTGAAGACTGGTGGTGACAAGGTTGAATATCCTGATGTGGGGATCAACTCTCATATATTGTGCGACGATTATTATTGGCTCTAAAGACAGAAGAATCACCCAAGGGCATTATAATTTCTGCACGATGTGCACCGTGAAACAGAAGACTTGTGATGTTATCATTGATAGTGACTGTAGTGAGAATATTGTCTCTCGGCATATGATGTAGAAATTAAGTTTGAAGACAGAGAAACATCCTGCTCTCTACAAGATCGGTTGGATTCGTAAGGGTAATGACATGCAGGTTAATGAGGTGTGTCGGGTATCTTTTTTTATTGGCCGTAATTATGTTAATAAGGTGTTGTGTGATGTAGTTGAGATGGATGCTTGTCATATGCTGTTAGGCAAACCATGGCAGTTTGATATTGATGCCACACATAGGGGAAAGAACAATGTTTATATTTTTAGAAAGGATGGTCGCCGAGTTGTGATCATACCTCTTACAAAGAAGAGACCAATCAAAATAGATGTTGCTGAAAAGAAGATATTTTTGGTCGTTAACAATGAAGATTTTATAAAATATTTGAAAGTCTGACGAGGTTTATGCTCTTGTTGTATCCGAAAATGAGGATTCTACCTTCACCAAAATTCCACCCAAAGTATAGACCATCTTGCAACAATTTGACACAGTTATGCTTGACGAACTTCCTTCCAAATTACCATTGCTTTGAGATATTCAACATCAGATCGACTTCATCACTGGATCACGCCTACTAAATCTGTCACACTATCAGATGAGCCCGAAGGAAGGGGAGATCTTGCAGAAGTAGGTGGACGATCTCATCCAGAAATGCCTTATATGAGCTAGCATTAGTCCGTGTGTTGTGTCAGCATTACTAGTCCTAAAGAAGAACCGAGAGTGGCGCATGTGTGTGGATAGTAGGGCTATCAATAAGATTACCGTGAAGTATCGATTTCCTATCTCTCGACTGGAAGACATGTTGGATATGTTGTCTAGATCATAAGTATTCTCCAAAATTGACCTCTAGAGTGATTATA